CCCCGTGTTTCCCCCCAAAGCCCACCTGTCGTCATTGGGCCCCACGAGGGCCGAGCGCCCGGCCAGGCCGGGCAGGTCGATGTGGTCGCGGATGACCAGCAGGTGACCAGCGGTCAGCCCCGGCCGCAGCGACCCCGCGGCGTTGGTCAGCACCAGCGTGTGCACGCCCAGCAGGGCCAGCGTCCGCACGGGAATGACCACCTGGAACGGCCAGTGAGTGACCACTGAGTGACCACTGACCCCTGAGTGACCCTGAGTGACCCTGAGTGACCACTGAGTGACCAATGAGTGACCCCGCGGCGTTGGTCAGCACCAGCGTGTGCACGCCCAGCAGGGCCAGCGTCCGCACGGGAATGACCACCTGGAATGGTCAGTGAGTGACCAGTGAGTGACCACTGACCATCAGTGACCACTGACCCCTGAGTGACCCTGAGTGACCCTGAGTGACCCCTGAGTGACCCTGAGTGACCCTGAGTGACCCTGAGTGACCAATGAGTGACCCCTGAGTGACCCTGAGTGACCCTGAGTGACCCTGAGTGACCACTGAGTGACCAATGAGTGACCAATGAGTGACCAATGAGTGACCACTGACCCCAAACTGACCCCAAACTGACCAATGAGTGGTCACTCAGGGGTCACTCAAGGGTCAGCGGTCACTCATTGGTCAGTTTGGGGTCAGGGGGCGTGGCCAGCAGAGCCATTAACGCCTCGTGGGTGTGGCCAGGGGGGCGTGGCCAAGGGGGGCCAGGCATGGGAGGGGGCGTGTCCCAGCTCTTTGTGGGCGTGTCCCAGCAGTGTGTGGGCGTGTCCCACCTGCAGTGGGCGTGTCCCGGGGCCGTGGGGGGGCGTGGCCTCACCTGGGCGGGGCTGTAGCCCTCGTAGAGGTGGAAGCGCCCCTGCAGGACGGCGCAGGGGGTGGAGCCCAGGCGGCCGACGACCAATCGCCCGGCGTGGCCCTGCACTGGGGGCGGGGCCGGCAGTCACCACGCCCACCCGGGCACGGCGAGCCCCGGGGGCGATGGAAACGCCCCAAATCAGCCCAAAAACACCCAAAATACCCCCAAAATCACCCCAAAACCACCCGAAACCACCCAAAATCAGCCCAAAACCGCCCCAAAATACCCCAAAATCACCCCAAAAACACCTGAAATCACCCAAAATCAGCCCAAAACCGCCCCAAAATACCCCAAAATCAACCCAAAAACACCTGAAATCACCCAAAATCAGCCCAAAACCACCCGAAATCACCCAAAATCAACCCAAAACCACCAGAAATCACCCAAAATCAACCCAAAACCACACAAAATACACAAAAATCACCCCAAAACACCCCAAAATCAGCCCAAAACCACCCGAAATCACCCAAAATCAACCCAAAACCACCTGAAATCACCCAAAATCAACCCAAAAGCACCTGAAATCACCCCAAAATCAACCCAAAACCACCCAAAAATAGCCCAAAACCACACAAATCCCATAAAGCCACCCAAAATCACCCCAAAAACACCCCAAATCACCCCAAATCAGCCCCAAACCACCCAAAATACACAAAAATCACCCCAAAACCACCCGAAATACCTCAAAACACCCAAAATATCCCAAAATCAACCCAAAACACCCAAAATACCCCAAAACCAGTCCCAAAACACCCAAATCACCTAAAACCAGCAGAAATGACCCCAAACCGCCCCAAAATCACCCCGTGAAATCCCCCAAAAGCACCCAAAATTCCTCAGAACCCCAAAACTCCCCCAAATCCACCCAAACCACCCCGAATCCCAAGAAATCCCCCCAAAATGCCCCAAAACTCCCAAAAATCTCCAAAATCACCCAAAGCCACCCCAAAACTTCCCCCCAAACTGCCCCAAAACTACTGAAAACAACCTAAAATCCCCCCAAAATCACCTCAAATGCCCCAAAAATCACCTAAAATCCCCCAAATTCCCCAGAACCATCCAGAACTCTTCCTCCCAGTGCTCCCAGTGACCCCAGTGACCCCGCTAACCCCGCTCCCAGTGCTCCCAGTTTGTCCCAGTCTATCCCAGTCCCTCCCCCGGTTACCGCGGCTCCCGGTCCCTCCCGGTCCCTCCCAGTCTGTCCCAGTGCTCCCAGTGCTCCCAGTACCCCCAGTAACCCCGGTTACCGCGGCTCCCGGTCCCTCCCGGTCCCTCCCAGTCTGTCCCAGTGCTCCCAGTGCTCCCAGTACCCCCAGTAACCCCGGTTACCGCGGCTCCCGGTCCCTCCCGGTCCCTCCCAGTCTGTCCCAGTGCTCCCAGTGCTCCCAGTACCGGTGCTGCGCGGGAAGTGCGGGATGTCGCGGTACTCCAGGCTCTGGGGGTCGCGCAGCTCCTGCGCCAGCGCCCCCAGCCCAGAGCCGCACACCAGCGCCACGCGCGGCGCCTCCCGCAGCCGCGCCCGCAGCCAGCGCGCCGCCTCCGCGCACGCCTCGTAGCTGGGGGACAGGAGAGACCAGTATGAACCAGTATGGACCAGTACGGACCAGTATGAACCAGTATAAACCCATATAAACCCATATAAACCCATACAAAGCGATATAAACCAGTATGGACCAGTATGGACTGGAATCTAGGGGGATGGGAGAGATCAGTTTGGACCAGTTTGGACCAGTTTGAACCAGTATGGACCAGTATGAACCAGTATGAACCAGTACGGACCAGTACAAACCCATATAAACCCATATAAAGCAATATAAACCAGTATGGACCAGTATAAACCAGTACGGACCAGCCGCGCCCGCAGCCAGCGCGCCGCCTCCGCGCACGCCTCGTAGCTGGGGGACAGGAGAGACCAGTATGAACCAGTATGGACCAGTACGGACCAGTTTGGGTCATCATAGACCCACATAAACCCATATAAAGCGATATAAACCAGTATGGACCAGTATGGACTGGTATGGACTGGTACAGGTCTCATAATTGGGATGGGAGAGACCAGTATAAACCAGTATGGACCAGTTTGAACCAGTATGGACCAGTACAAACCAATATAAACCCATATAAAGCGATATAAACCAGTATGGACCAATATAATCCAGTATGGACCAGTATGGACTGGTATCTGGGGGATGACCCCGGGGTGACCTGGGGTGACCCCGGGGATGACCCCAAATGACCCCGGGGTGACCCCGGGGTGACCCCGGGGTGACCCCGTGACCCCCCCCCCCCCCCCCCCCCAGTTCTCTCTTCCCCCCCCCTTTTTTTTTTTTTTTTTTTTTGGTTTTCGGGGGGGGGGGGGGGGGGGGGGGGGGGGGGGGGCGTGTCCCGGCTGAGGCCCCGCCCCCCGCGCGGCGGCAGCCAATCAGGACGGCCCCTGGCGGGAAGAAGTACGTGCGGTGCCCCTGCAACTGCCTGCTGGTGTGCCGCGCCTCGGCCCAGCGCATCGCCTGCCCCCGCCCCTACTGGTGAGACTGGTTTGTGCTGGGAGGGCGTTGGGGGGCACTGGGTTATACTGGGAGGGGGTTTGGGGTCACTG